GAGAGTAACCTGGTGCTGATGATGCGCTGGTGCCGGCGATCGCCTCGCTAACTTCGTCTATCGTCACTGCAACGTAGGGGAGGTCATCCCCCATGTGGGTTTTGGAGGTCTGGGATGTGTTCCGTCTCGAGGCGTGGTGGTGGCTGGTAGAGTTCTGTTCTGAGGGCGTTGCACTTGTCTTCATGGGACACCGCCTTGGGAAGCCCCTCGCCCCTCGAAATGGGGGGGGATGGGTAGTTCCGTGTACCTTTCGACCAATTCTGGAAACCCCATATGTCGTCTGTTGTGGCCTGTTGCAACTTCTCGTTTACCCAGTCCCGTTTCTTAATTCGGCATAGTCTCTTGAAGAAGTTGCGGGCCTTCCTGATCCGGGCTCTGATGTCGCCGCTGAAGGAGCTCACAATGTCGTGGTGTCGTTTCTGTTCTCTGCGTGCTTCGCTGACCCTGTTGGCTGCGTCTGTAAGGTCTTGGTCCCACCATGGCTTGGCGTTGTTGCATGATTTCAGTGGGTGAAGCTGGTGAGTAGATTTAGACGAGGGCTGGTGCCCAGAAATCAAACTCCTCGTCACCAGCTGGGATCCGACAGGCTGCCCAACAGCTGTCAATTGTGTAGCTGACAGGGGAGCGGTTTGATGCCGATCAGGAATTTCAGCATTCTGCCATCACCCTGGGGCCCAAACGGCGGTGTAGTATCTATTCCGAGTCCTCATCCGAACTACTGTCAGAATCACTGCTCTGGGAGTTAGTCACACCGTCCTCATCCTTGTCATCCACGGCCGTGTTCACTCCCCCTTCAGGTGCCCCTATCGCCTCGACCGTTCCCACAACACGACTGGCTGGTTTCGGGATGAGCCGTCCCTTCAAAGTTGGCTTCTTCCACGCAGGTCGGCACTTCTCTCGCTTAGCAAGGTCCCTCTCAGCCTCCCACGCAACAACCTCTTCCTTCCATTGTGCACGAATCTCCTTGTTTTGCGCCACCCGCTCAGCCTCGGCTACCTTTTGTCCCTCGGTTGTAATTGCTTTTGCCGCTCGTTGTTCCTTGCGCAACTTCGCCTCCGCTTCCTTTCGAATCATTTCCTCTGTGTGTGATTTGACCTCTTGTGTGAATGGCTTTGCTGTGTAAAGGCGAGGCCGGCCATCCGCTACCAGTCGACCCTTCTTCTGTTTGTTTTTCTTTGCCTCCTCTTGTGCTGCTAACTGACCTCGAACGTCATCAACATAAATGCTGTTCAGGACCAACGAGGACTGCAGAGCGATGAGGTGAGTCTTCTGCACATCCAGCTTTGCTTTTGCTTTTGCTAACTCCTCTCACAGTTCTGACTTGAGCACTGTTTCCGGAACAGTGAAATGACGGGTGACAGGTGGTGAGATTACACAAGCAGTGAATGATGGTGGTTTCGCCATTGATTGGATTGGGGATGAAGTAATGAGATAGGACAGGGACGACGTGCGAAGTGACTGGAGGGCTGTGCGGACAGGCGTATCGAATGGGTTTTGGCGATGGCGTGGGGTGCAAGGTAAGGCTTCGTTGTCTGTGCTATCAGTCTCTGACACCACCATGGCATGGGCGCGCTTGCGCACACCGTGAATCAAGGCGGTCACAGCTCGGACAGGCGTGGTTGGTTGGACTGGAAGGTAACCCTGGCAAGAGGTTTCGACACTTGGAGCCATCATTTCCGCAGTGATGACTGAGTGATTGAAAGGCCATGCACCCGTTCGACGAAATGCGGCCTTGATGTTTTCGGGTGTCAATGCACGGACATGGGCAGCACCATAGATACGTAAAAAGTTCGTCTTGTCGACTTTTGTCCTCTTTTCACGCAACCACCTGTCCTTCTCCTGAGTCCAAAACAGCTTTAATGGCCCAAATATGACCACGTCAAGACCTTGATACACATGGGTTGCATGGGAAGGGTAACACAAGACGTGAATTCGATGCTTACGTGCAAAGAGGAGGAAGCCGAGCGTGTAGTGAGAATTGTGGCCATCCACAAGAAGCACCCGAGTACGTCCATTTGCTTTTGCCTTCGTTTGTTCATGGAAATCTTTGATGTATTCCACCCCAATCTCACCATCGGTCCAGCCCTTTTTCGAATAACCAAGTCTACATAGAATGTTGGTGAGAAGCAAGAATTTTCAATGAATACTGAGACGTACAAGGCCTCTGTGGGATTTTCCTGGTCCCACTTGACATGATATGATTGTCCTTTGTAGAGAACGGCAGGTTTCAATAGTCTGCATTCAATCGCACCCATCAAACCGTAGTAAAAAATTGATGCCCTTTATTCCCACGTTTGAGTCATGTGAGAGCGCTAAACAATGAGACGCAACGCGTCGGTTTGAATAGTAAAAGGCATCCGCAGCCATGTCCCGCGATGAACTCCCCCAATATATGCCCAATACTGCTCTAATGTCATTTGAGACACCTCCTCGCCCATTTTACCCTCCGTGGGCTACTCCCAATGCAAATCCCGGTACACCCACCATCACAGGGACTGGATTTCAGACCTACCCAGCCTATCTTGCCACCCCCAGTCCTCAGAGCCACCAAACATCAGTTAAGTGGAGCCACAAGAGAAAAAATGATGAAAATTCGGGCCAGAGTGTAGTGAAGAAGGCACGGAACAGCCGAGGTCTGGGTCTGTTGTCAGACTCAACAACGTCAAACCTTCCACCCGAAATGGGTACGCCCGACGAAGTCAGTGACCCAGATGCAGACAAACTTGATTCCTTTTTCGCTTTTCTGCAAGGGACACTTAAGTGGACATTTGGTGAACTTCTTTATCACACAAGCAAAGGAAAATCTCCTGGTGCAAAATGGAAGCTTGGCCCTGATGGAAAGTCATTGGTAACTTCAAATCCGAAAGAAGTGAAACGAAATTCTTCCATTATCCAGCACTTTATGCATGGTCGTGGTACATATGGACCTGCTGATATCCTGAATAACTGGATGCAGCATCCATATGGGGCTGATGAGCACCAGTCACATCTCATGTACTCCACCAGTGTACCTTACCTCGAAATAAGGCCAGTCCGCCCTGCCCTGACTGCATTCGCTGCACAGACAGTCAAGGCAAAGATAATTCATGAAGCTGAGAGTGCTGTTAAATTATCTAGTGGGCTACATGTTGCAGTAACACGCAAGCAGCAGACAAAGTCCT